GTGTCCTAATGTCTATTGAAATCAGTGGAAGTTAGGAGCCTAAGTCCCATTATGGATCTGGGTCCATCGGCATAACTCAGATGGTAGTGCTCTTGCTTCAGTATCAGACAATCCTGCAATAGCACATAGTACATAGGGTGGAATAGTGAGGCTGCTTTTGGTCTGTTATGAAAGATGCTGTCATTCAGAGGAGTTCTGGAAGGGCCTGTAGAAAAAACAATATCATTAATTAAGACTTTAAATTTCCATATGAGATCTGTCAAACATTATCCATATGTTACAGTTGGGTAACTGAGGCACGGAGAGGTTAAGTGACTTGCCTAAGGTCATTTCGTGAGTCAGTGTCAAAGTCAGGAGTGAGTCTCCTAACTCCCAGTGCCCTACACTAACCACAAGACCAAGCTACCTTCCAAAAGAAATAAATAATATTATATTAAAGCAATCATTAATATTATGGGGATTGTCTCATTGCTAATGTAAATTTCTTTGCAAATAAATTTTGTACTGCAGTACTAAAACTTGATCCATGTACTGCTGCCTCAGGTCAGACGTTATTTAGAACCTCTGCAGACAAGAGACTGTGATTCGATTTCTCCCACTGTCAAACTAAGGAATGGCAACTGTACAGGCAATAAATTTCTGGATCTCAAAACTCCTGGCAAGAACAGTCCCCAAGAGGTGCAGGAGCCTGGAAAGCATTTTTTTGAAACCAGTAAATGCTGCCAACTTTCCCTCCCCCACTAGCACACAGAGAATCCATTTATAAACGTAGTAGTGGCTTTTATACACCAATAAGGCAAATACAGAAGGGTGGTAACTGTGACCTAACTGTACTTGTGAGAGAGAGGTGCTTAGGTGCACCTGATATCCAGGGATGTAGTTACTTTATGGTAATCTAATTATGTGTTTCTTTTTTATTGTGTAATCATCTGTTACGATACTGGCAGCATCTGGTAATAGTACTGTAATGACTTGTACTGCATATGCTTCATGTCAGTAAAAGCTGAATTACTCCCAGGATTAATTATTCCTAATAACAACAGTGTGGAGGTATGAATTATGACTCTGACCCTGCATCCATTTGTAGGTAAATCTCCCATGGGAATCAATGAGAATTTTATCTGAGTAAAGAGTACAGGATCAGACCTCAAAGTAATAGAAATAAGGGTGAAAGCCTCAAGACAAGGGATTTAGACACCTTATCTTCTATGAATAATAGTGCCATAGAATACTTTGAAAATGTCAACCAATATATATTTTTATTGCCAAAAAATGTATCTGGCCTGTTTATTAAGCATGTTTATCAATGTATCATCTTTAAAAAAAAAATTAGCTGAGCTTTTGTGTTTAATTTGTATATATGAGAAGCTAAAGTAACTGTATATTATAAATGCTAAACTCAACCAGTGGCCAAAAAACAAACTAAATCTCCCCTCCATGGGTTATTCCCACATCAAAGGAAAGTGTCATTGTCACAAAATGAAAATCATGGAGTTCTTTTGTATCTTAGCTGTCAGGGCAACAGAGGGTTTGGGTTTAAGCCTACCGTACCCTGCAGAAGAAAATTGAGATTCCATCCCATAAACTGATTGATCCTCAGGGAGATCCTTTACCTCCTCACTGCCACCTGGGCTTCCCTTTTCATTTATCCAGCTTCCCATAGCCTTGGCTTCAACAGCTTCTGAGGAGGCATGCGGCCAGGAGCTCCTCATACCACCATTGCTCCTAGAATTCCCTATAAAGTTGGGGGTAAGAATACAGACAACAGGGAGGAGAAAGGCAATACAAGCTACTACAGCTGTCTTCTCTCTTGGATGTTGGGGGAACCCAGTGGAGACCTGTTAGCTGGTATCTGCCAATGCAGTTGCTCTTAGGAATAGCCTCTTGGGCATTTCCACTCAGCTCACTTGAAGGCCACAGCCCTCCTGTTGGATTAAGGCTTTGATTTGCTACTTATTCCTCTCTGGCTTCTTCCTTTCTACTCATCAGGGGTCAGATCCTAGCCCTACTCTGTACATGGAGCTGGAATCTACAAGATCCCCCATAAAGGACTTCTTCTGCATTAAAGGAAAGGGTGTCAGTGAGGTCACCTTGTGGCAAGTAAATGCAAGCCTATTCAAATAAACAGGTCTGTTTCCCCCTGTTCAGAGTCTATGTGAATAAATGAAATAGAGCACATTTACACAAAGCAGTTCAGGAAAATTTATCTATATTAAGAAAACAACACACAAGGCAGCCATTTTATTGAGTGATTTAAATAATCTCTCTCTTCCAGTTGCAAACTCATTCAGAGATTATGGGCCAGATCCACAAAGGTCTTAGGCACCTAAAGCCCAGTTTTAGGCACCACTGTGATCCACAAAACCCTTGTTCGGCTGCCACCTAACCCTGTAGACACTTAAACTCACTCAGTGATTAAATTTTGTCCCCAACTTTAAATTCACTTAGTGGCTAAATTTTTGCCCCAGAAGTTCCTAGGCACCTACCTTTCTACCTCTAAGCATGCACTCTGTTGTCTCAGGCAAGTGTCTGGATGTCTGTCTCACCTAAGCCTTAGTAAATCCTCAAACCAGAGGAAGAATTGGGCCAGCAACTGCATGAGAATCACTGTATAGTCCAGTGGTTCAAGCACACACCTGAGATGTGGCATATCCCTGTTCAAATCTCTTTTCCTTATCAGGCAGAGGTGGGAATTGAATCTGGGTTTCCTACATCCCAGGTGACTACTCTAACCACTGGGCTAAAGATTATAAATAAAGGAGTCATCTTCCTCCTTTCCCTGGCCATTTTGTGTGGAGCTCTAAGTGCCTGAGCCACCTGACTCTAGGAAAGGCATTTCTGACTGTGTATTGCAAGCAGTGATAGATGCTTAACTCAGTGATGGCTCTGATTGCCATCTCCCAATGATGTGACCTCATCCAAGGCCATCAGTAGACCATCAATATGTATTTGTAGGACAGTCTCTGTGTCATGAGCTTGTTTGAAGCCTAACTGTGAGGGTCTAGGACATTATAGGACGATAAATGTTGTTGGAGCTTAATTACAGGAACTGCCATGCTGGATCAAATCAGTGGTTTATATAGACAAGTATCCTGTCTCCAGCACTGACTAGTACCAGCTGCTTCAGAGGAAGTTGCAAGATTATAGTCAAGGAATAATCTGCCTACAGAGAAAATTTCTTCCTAGTCCCATTAGTTAGAGGTGGGCTTATGCCCTGAAATATAAAGGTTTCTAGTCCTTCCAAAACTCTTTATTTTTAATCCTTTCTGTTGTAACTTTGGATATTCTTATTAGCCATATAAACATGCAGTTCTTTTTTGAATCCTGATCAGTGATATATTATGGCAATGAGTCTCACAGGCCAAGTGTGCATTATGTGAAAAAGTATTTCCTTTGATCAGTTTTAATTTGTCACATTTCACATGTCACAGAGTGGCTGCCCCCTTTAAGGAGAGACGGTGGAGCTGCACTTGTGACACACTTAACTCACTTTCCCAGGTGAAGAGAATGAGTAATAATGTCACATGACAGGTGGATCATATGGCTAAATCAGGTCTTTGGGCATAGGTAAGAGAGGTCTGTAGAGAACCAGAAGGGAGACTCTAGGAGCCTGTCCCTTAATAGGGAGCAGAAGGGTGGTGTGAGCAACCCTACACAAAGAATCTTCTTAGCTCCCAGGGACAGGGCCTGGGGAATGAAGAGAGCTAGTACCAAGCAGAGAGTCTAGAGAACAAGTTGACTGAAGAAGCCTCAACAGGAAGTTGTTCCTTCTGAGCTTTATGTTAATAAACCAGACCCCAAAAAGGCCTGGTGTTATTGGACATATGAAAGCTTTTGTGAGTCATCGAGGAGTCCAAGAGAAGAAACTGAGGCAGTGATGAGCATGATCCCAGACTGGGTTAGTGATGTGGTGACAGCTTCCATATTCCTGTATTGTGAAGGTCAATAGAATTTCCAGATCCACCTTCTCTATATCATTATTTTGTATAGTATCATGTTCCCTATTTTTCATTTCCTTTCTAAGTGAAAAGTCCCAGTTTTTTTCAATTTATCTTCCCATGGACATTTTTCAGCACTTCAGTCTTGTCGCCTGTCTCTGAATTCCTCTTTATTTCTACCATATTCTTTTTGAGATGAGGTGACCAGAACTAAATGCAGTATTCCAGGTGATGATATACCACTGACATATACCAGCATGGGAATATTTCCAATATTACTCTCCATCTCATTCCTTAGGTGCCCAAAGACTTTATTTGTTTGATTGCACTTGAGCAGAGATCTTCAGTGAGCTGTCTACAATGTTGCCCAGATCCTTTTTGTGCATTGAGTGATCTGCCTGCAAAACATCCCTATAGAACGATCAGACTTTTTGAAAAGGTATCAGTCCCCCAAGCAGCCTCTCCACCTGGACTGCTTGATGATGAGTGTGATATTAAAATGTTTCACTGGGAGACGCACCTGCACAACCCTTGATCAGCAGAGGGCCAGGAAACCATCTTTAAAACATAACCCTTTGGGGCAAAACCTGAACTCCCTCTGGGTCAAAACTTCCACTGTCCGGCTAGGACAAGACTACACATTCACCACAGCTTTGCCTAATGACTCACTTTGGCGCAAGATGAGAAAATCGACTTCCAAAAGGACGGGGCTGGAGGGCGGGGGGGGGAGAGATTTGGCAGATCTCTGTGGATGACACCACCAAGCGGTCCCTACCCAGTGATTTTCCACTGGGCGGGGGGGTTGCTTCTCAGTTTTTTATATAGTGCTTTGCTGGTGAGAGACACACATCCCCGGCCCCTCTCCCCCGCTGCTCCCGAGTCTCCCCGTCAGCATGCAGCAGCAAGCGGCGCGCTAGCCAGAGCCCTCCCGAGCGCCTGCCACCGCCGCTGGTGCCGCCCCGCCCAGCGCTGCGGCCCGGGGAAGGAGGCGGGGTGGGATTGAACGGTGGGAACTGAAAGCTCGGCGCTGGGTTTCCCTGAGTCCCGGAGATTCGGTGCCATCCGGGGGGAAGAGTTTGCACGGCAGAAACCGTGCGAGGGATGAGGAAGGCGAGGGCGCAGCGGCCGCTTCTCAGGTTGCTTCCCCCTCCCCCCTCCCCCCAGCCCCTTGCTTAGCCGGGGCGTCGCCGGGTCCCGGGAGCGCTGCGCTCCACCTCCTGAGGCGGCCCGGGAAGCCCCCGCGCTGCCGGCTGCTAGCGCAGCTGCTCTCGGGAGGAGCCTCTCGGGCATTTCCCCTCAGCGCACTGCAGGCTGCAGCCCCCAGCTGGGGTGAGGCATCAATTTGCTGCTGATTCCTCTCTGCCCTTCCGCTCAGGTCCTGGCCCCAGTGAAGTTTACTGTTATTTTTGCAGTGGACTTAAGTGGAAGCAGGATTTGGCCTTGACTATAAATGGGATTGTCCCCCACCCCTTTGTAGGAAGTGTCACCGCAGTAGCCTTCCCTTTTCCCTGTACTATGGGGAGTTTCTAAACTCTCTCTGCTTTGGGGGGTGCCGGTGTGTTAGGGTTAGTGGAAGTCACTTTTTTTCCACAGTGAAAAAGCTGGTCTTTTATGTAGTCTGTTCACTCTTTTGATATATCTGAGACATTTTTTTAATCCTTGGTTTACTTCTCTCCAAAACTAGCACCCCAGATTGTGATCCTCTAAATTTTGGGCGGGGGGGGGGGGGAATAATTCACTTGTAAGATCTGATCCCAAAGGTTTAAAAATGTGTTTAAATTGAGATGGTCAAGGACGTATCTGTAAAAGGTTGACCTGGGGCGTCAGTTTAAGTTTCCTTCAAACATGGTACCATTCTCATGCTCATTGTTTCACTTTTGTTTTGCTTCATAAAATATTTCAAAACGTTTATGGGAAAATCCAGAGAGAGAGAGTGCTATCCTAGTTGTGTAAACTGTTTTGTTTTTGGCCCATTTGCAAACAACTGTGGGTGGAGACAGTGTATGTGGTAAACAGTATTTTTATTAATGAGATCTATATTTTTTTCCTAAGGGAAAGTTAGTGAAGAAAGCCAGGTTATGATATGTCTGACATTGTATTCAGATTCTTATCTCTCTATTTTGTAATATGTATCTTGTAAAATAAGCAACTAGGCTTGTGCTTGCATGTTCTGTAGATAATTTTACAAGATACATGTAGAGTGCACCGCAAAACTCAATCTTGGGATCAGGATAATTCTTTTTATTTTAGGGTAGAGCATTAAGTATGTCTGAATATAGATTAGTGACAACAGGGCAGAACTCTTGGCCTTCACTTTGCCCTTCTTTGAATTATATTTTTGGCCTCAAAATTAGTGAATATAATATTACTTGATTCCATGCCCTTATGTCTAAGATGAAATGTAATATTGGCTTTATATCTATTAGGACTGCAATCCAAAAACCATATCGTGGTCATGTGGAGAAATAGATCTGATGACATTAATTAATATGTCTATTTGTCAAGGCTTGACAAGGCAGCGTAAATGACGATTCCAGGCTTGGCTTCTGCTCCTTGTTTTGCGGAAGCAGCCCATTCATTCCCTAGATGTGAAAGGAATATGTTACTTTCAAACAGTTGGCTTTGGTCACTGCATGAACTCGCTTTGTCAGGCTGTGCTGGGAGGCCCATCCAGTTCTTTTTGTCTGGATGTGGACCTATGAGAGAGATGAGGGACATAAGTTTTCTGTCTTTCAGAATTTCTCAGTCATTCTGAATGTTGTAGCTACCACTTCAAAGGAGCATTGCTGTTTACCTCCATAAATTCTGCTGCACCTTTGCAAGACAAGGATTGTTACTGACAATATAGCAAGGGGGGGGACATCCAGAGTGAGAATTGCAAGCTGTTCAGAAGAGAATTTCAGAAATACTATAAACTAGAGTAGAAGGAAGCAGAGCTGTGATAGTTGGCTTTCCGGTTCTCAAAAACTGGTAGCTAATAAATCCACTTGACCTTCCTGTATGTAAACCCCAGAATTGGTATGAAGGAGAAAAACTGGAAACCTGGGTACTGCTCCTCTCCGTATAACTCAGACTTCCCCCAGTTTATTATTCTCCACTTAACTTTGGGGAGGGTGTTGTGGTGTGTTAATCTTTTTAGATATTTCTTTCTAAATGTTTAATATTAAAGGCATTAATTTTAGGCATCACTTCTAATTTTTTGAAAATTTGGATTCCTGTAATTTGTGTGTGCACCTGCATCTGTGTGTGTGTTCTAAAACAAGTCAGACATCTAGTATTTTGTGTTCACTGGTGTACTCATTTCAACACACAACTTGTGGTGAATAATATCCATATGCGTGCACAATGAAACGACTTTATAGATAATCATTATTATTTAAGAAGGGAAATTGTATTGCTCAGAGAATTGCTTATGTGTTACAGAGTCTGTCGCCCCTTAGGCACTGGTTCAAACATAGGTCAATTTCAGAGTGAACAAAAGTTTTTATACCATTAGATGGTTATTGGGTGGTCCATGAAAGAAATTGGTAATGTGAGTCCAGTTTCAAAGGGACAGCCGGCCACATCCCACAAATGACTAACGGTTAGTGCTAGTTGCCACTCTTTTTGCAGTTTCAGCAGAGAGGTCACCAACTTGAATGGGCTAGGAGTTTGTTATGCTTTCCTTTCTAGAAGTGAGGGTACATTGGTGAGGTGCAGAAACTTGTATGGTACTTGTTCTCTGGACTTCAGTTTAAAGGACTGTTAATTTGGCACTTTTTACATTAAACTATTATTCTGGGATCCAAGAATCTCCTAGGTTTTTTTTATTTATTTATTTTTTTGCTTCCTTCATCCTCCCAGGTGTTACATCTAGTATATAACCGAAGTTGCTAATAACTAGTATTTATTTACAGTGATAATAGTGATGGAAAATGTATTAACCCCCCCCCAAAAAACAACCAAACAACTTTTTTTAACGAGAGCATTGTTTTTATATTTTTTTATTTTTTACCATAGCTGAAATTGATATGATTTTGGAGTAACATTCAGTGGTAACAGGCTAGATTAAAATGAATCTTCGTTACAGCTGACTTTTAACTGACTCTACTCTTCTGTAGAATAGTCCAGTTTTTTTCTTAATACATGATATAATTTGTGGCTAGTCTGTTAGGAAGCATTTTAAACCAAGTTAAATTTTGCTTACGCTAGTTAAAATAACTGCAGTTTGTTGTCTAAAAGGCAAGAGAAAATGAGTCCGTAAAATACCTGTTTTTCTCATTCTTACTATTTTAGGGATCTGTGGAATTTAAGGAATCCTTCTCTAAGATAACTTTGCTGCTGTTCCGGCCTTCCTTCTCAGTGTTGTGATGGTTTCAATTGAAGTACATTTCTGAAGAAACTGACCGGAATAGGAGTCGTCTTATCTTTTAAAATGTTCAAAATTCAGCAACGCATAACATCTAACAGGACACCCAGGAAAAGGCCATATAGATGTGACATCTGCTATAAACAATTTGAAACGCCATCAAAATTAGCTAGGCATTATCTTATACACACTGGTCAAAAGCCATTTGAATGTCATGTATGTCATAAAACTTTTAGACAGTTAGTCCATTTGGAGAGACATCAGCTAACCCATAAACTTCCTTTTAAATGTAACATTTGCCATAGGAACTTCAAAAATTTAATTACTTTCTTAAAGCATCAACAGCTTCATAATGAAAACTACCAGAGTGATATTAAGCAAGCTAAAAAATCGGTGGATGCCAAGCAAGATAGGCTGTTGTATGGAATATTTCATTGTTCTGTTTGCCAGAAATCTTTTACAACAGAAGAGCGGTGGATGCTGCATCAGTGCACAAAGTCAGATCATCTGCACAGTGCCAGGAGGAGAAAGAAAACTCATGTGTGTGAAACATGTAACAAGATGTTTCCATCACGATCTAAGCTGGAAAGACACTTGCTGATTCACACTGGCCAGAAACCTTTTAAATGTTCCTTGTGTGGTAAATCTTTCAGGCAGTTAACACATTTGAAAATCCATCAGCTCACACACACAGAAGAGAGGCCTTTCCAGTGTTGTTTTTGTCAGAAGGGATTTAAGATGCAGAGCAAACTCCTGAAGCACAAGCAACTCCATGTCAGAAATAAGTCTCTTCCCAGAGTCCTTTACAGAGCAAAGACTTCTAAATACCCTAGACCTCAGAACTCGCTGGAAGGAAAAAGGGATAATTTTGAGAATGTTGATTCTTATGAGTCCCCGGAAAATGATCCACTTGATGTTCACTCTATTTATATTGTACCTTTTCAGTGCCCAGTGTGCGAGCAGTGTTTTGAAACAGAGCGGGTTCTAAATTTGCACAAATGTTTTTACCTGAGAGATGGCAAAAATTCAAACAGTGGCAAATCAGCCTACAGCCACAAAGCCAGCATTAAAAGTAAAGTCCTGATGAAACTCAAACATGCTGGAGAAAAGGCATCAGATTTGTCTCTGTCTGACAGACAAAAAAATAAAACAAGTCACTTTAAAAGTTATGACCTGTTTGCATCTAATGAGCAGCATTCTGATCGGAATGCTTCCCCTAAAACTTTTAAGAATTATCATAGCAAGCTTGTCAGGCACAAGATAATTAGCAATAAAAAGAAAAGGACATTTGTCATGCCATTTTCCTGGCAAGAGCACCTACAAAAGCACAAATTAGAAATTAATTTAAATGGTATAATTACTGGTGAAAGCATGTTAAACATGGATGATTCGGTACATAATAAAGATGACTCTCTTTATGGTTCATTGGATGCTGATTTCTTTGATAATCCAGAAGCAGCACTTCACCGTGCTTTTTCAGCTCCTACTAAAAATATACATAATAGACACACAGTGTGTAAATGTGACAGATGTGAAAAAATCTTCCCTTCTTCATCCAAACTTCAAAGACATTATCTTATTCACACGGGACAGAAGCCCTTTGGCTGTAATGTTTGTGGGAAGACATTTAGACAGTCAGCTCACTTAAAAAGACATCAGCTCACCCATACTGAAAAGAGACCATATAAAAGCCCTGTTTGCCAGGTGGAATTTGAAAATCTGAACAAACTTTTTAGTCATCAGGGAGATCACATTGAATTTAAGTCTTCTCAGCCTGTGGGTTATTCCAAAAGGCCTTCACAGGCATCTGGCTTTCCAGAATTTGAGCTGATCCAGTCAAACCAAGCAGCTGAAATCAAAGTTGAGCTAGAGTCTGGGGACTTTGTTCTTGGCACCAGCAGTAGAAACCAGCAGTATTTGTGTAGTAAGTCGTTGGAAACGGAGCAAAGCCATTACAGTCACTGGTATGATTTTTCTGGAGGTATGGAAAAAAGTGAAGCTATTAAAAAGTTTTATCAGTGCAGTGTCTGCTTTAAAACTTTCAAATCGCCTTCCAAACTTGAAAGGCACTATTTAATGCATGCTGGACAGAAGCCATTTGAATGTTCAGTTTGTGGTAAAACTTTCAGACAGGCCCCACATTTGAAAAGGCATCACCTTACTCACTTTAAAAAGAAATCGTAAAGATAAAATGGCTGCCAGAGTTCCACTGAGTGGGATAACAAACACTAGAAGGTATTTTGTGTTCAACAAAAGTGGATGGTGTCCAATGAGATTGTTTGTTTGTTTTTAAAGTCTAAAACTTCTGGATTACATAATTATGAACAGGCTTACATTAGTTTGACTGGTTTATGGAAAGTGACTACTTATGTTAAAGAGATGACCTGAAGAAAGGTTAATGTACTATTTTCAGACTGTCTACTTATATATTTTGTGATGAATAAGGGTTGATGTTTGAAAACTTCCAGCAATGTTTTTTTTTTTAAATTGTGAATACATGTAGTTATTGCATAAGTGTTTCAGCAATCTGTAGTGCAATATAAATCACATGTTTAAAAGTTGTGCCTCTTCCCCATCCAGAGGAGTTAATTCATGACAATATGCTTTCTGACTGCACCTGCCAAAAGCAAATGTAAAAAGACCGTCCTTGACCCACTTCACTTTGTCTCCATGTATGTTGAAAGCATAAGATGCATGCTGTGCCTGGTTGATACCATTTTTCTTATGCTCCTGTTTGTTCTGCAGATCAGGTAATACAAGAGAAAAAGAAAGGAGTTGGAAAAGGAAGAAGTGGAGGAGAAAGCCCAGAGGGAAAAATAACTTCCACAACAGTAACACAAGATTAATAGAGATAATACTTACCTGCTTTAAGATCTATGGATGAAGAGTGCTATGTAAGAGCTAGGTATTGAACATATGCACATTAAAATAACAAAGTGTTCCTGAGTCAGTACAGTCCTCTTAACCTCATTTGACTCTTCCAGTCTTGTTCCCTACCCCTTCTAGCTTTTTGGGTCAGTCCACACAATATTCAAGTGGTAGTCTGCAAGAGAAGTGGATAAGACTCTTAATTAAGCCCCGGGTGGTGGTTGTTGTTTTTCTCTTCTCATATAATGATGTCATTAATGCGTCCCCTTTCCACTCAGCCACCTTGTATCCTTAGTTCTTCTGCAAGGCCAAAATTTTGAGTAACAGCCTCCTTGTGCTGTGTGCACTACCAGGAAACAAGTTAAGGAAATATTCCTTAGGATGGGATAAGATGATAACTGACAAACAATGTTGTCGGGAAGTCATATATTCCTTTATAACCTGAAATAATGGGACTGTAAATGACAACTAGCTGCTATTTAGTAAATCCATTTTTGTATTATTAAAAGCTGTAGTTACAGTATGAATTTTCTGGTAAGTATTGGTATATGCCCACTTTTCCCCTTACACTGAAAGAATGCGTAAGCAAAAATAATTATGGACATGCTGGGGAAAGAGACTCTGAGAACCTGTAGATAAGAATGAAGTTAGTTCCCCCCCCACCCCAGAAGGAAAAGCTGCCTGCTAAAGTGTGTCTTTGTTGTGTAACTTCTCAATGCTTGAACCCTAAAGTTTCCAACTAACAGAAAATTGGTGAGATTCTTTTCATTGTTTAAGTAGGTCCAGATTTATTTAAATAAACTCTTTTTGACTTATATTTGCAGTTTTTCAAGTGATTAACCTAAGTCTGACAATAGCATAAGCTATATATTTGGTATGAATGAAGTGAGGATTTCCTCCTATCTGGAGATTGTCTCCCCCTATATGAGAGAGTAAAAAGTAGAAAAATGGTCTTGCTGGTATGATCTCATACTTGGCTATTGGTTATACTTTGACTTTTTTTTCTCCTCTCCTGTCCTTCCCCCCTCCCCCCCCCACATTCTTTCAGGTTGTTTCATATTAAAAGACAGAATACCATAAAAAGTGTTTTGGAGGTGTGCTGTAGAGCTCTTTTGAAATACCTGTAACAAATCTTTTTATTTATGTAGTACTTTTATTGTGCACTTCATTTGAAGACTCTAGAGGTGTGAAGACCAACTATGTGAAATTTGATATGCAGAAGGTAAAAGATTAGATGTCACAGTAACTAACCATTGCTGCATGTTAGAACAAATAGGATTGTTTCTGAAACCATTTTTTCTGCTTTACAAAACAATAAACTTTTCAATACATGTTTATAAAGAACCTGACTTTTCATGTTTTAAAAAGTTTTGAGAGTCAGATTAATGACCTGAAACAAGGTTAAATTAAAGAACACTGCTATTAATTGTATCAAACTTGATGGGGAGTCTGGGGAATACAACCATGGTAACTTCTTAATCTCTTTGTACAGACCTAATCACTCTAATGGAATATACAAAAGAGTATTTTAATAACTACTATAGAGATACTGGTATACCAGTACTTTATTATCTACCAGATACTTTATTTTCCCTATACATCTGCATGTATAAATATTATGGAGAGACAGTCTCCTCCCCCAAATGAAGGTAACATACACTTACAATAAGTGTATTTTATAATTGATTTTTGCCCAGACACAGTTAAATTTTTCAAGAGTCCTTTCCTTTTCAAATTCTGCATACGTGATCTGTAGTCACTGGACAATTCTTTGCCCAAATTTGAGGTGATCCGAATGAGCTGGTTTTGATAGATGGGAGTGGGGTTCAGAAAAACGGGTGTCTACTCATGTTTTAAAAAGTGAATGCTTTTTTTGCCATGCCTTATCTCAAAAATAGCTTTTCCTAGAAATTTCAATAGAGATTTGAAAGATCTTGGAAGGACTTAATGCACAAGCCCAATTTTGAGATTAGGAAAGGCACATTGGGAAGTGTTATTTACTGGTTATTTTTGGAATCATGGAATAATTGTTAGGGCTCTAGGGAATGTTTTAAAAGGCACCAGGGGTCTTTTCCCTTGATTTAGTGGGAATTTTATTTAGCCCCAAGTTAGTGGTGAAGACTGAGGGACTGATTTTCCTCTCCTTTCTATACCAGTGTAATTCCATTAACCTTCAGAGGAATTATGCAGTGGAGTGAAGTGGAGGATCAGGCTCCTAAAACTGAACTGGAAAAATGTAGGAGGGTGAAAAACTGGCTGTTTTGAAGTCAATGGCAACATTCAGATAGGGCCAGGACTTTTCCCCTGTGTCTGTAGGTCTTTTCCTTGCAAAGATAGCCTTCGGAGTGCAGACTTACGTCCAGGCATGTTAACTCTGCATTTCCATTAATTCTGGTGTCCTGGAAGTGTTTAAATGTAACCTTCATTCTGAATTCCAGGCTTTCTAATGGTGGTTTAGTTTACCTTTTGTTTCTACTGGTGATGTTATCCTACCACAAACCTGTGGCAAGTGCACAACTGATATGAATTAGTGGCTGTCCCAAGGAGCAACATGGAAACCCATCTGAAGGAATGTTCTGGAGTAGCAGCCAGCAGGCAAACCTGCAGGATGATAGATTCTGCAGGCTTCATATATGGAAACCAGGGTGGGGAGCGAGGTTGTCCTGGGGAAGCACAGATCCATTTTTGCTATTTTAAACGTGCTTAAATCACACTTCATATTATTCATCAGTATGCCATGGTCACTTTGCATAATGCTTCACGGCAAATTCAAGTCACCAGTCTTTGAAGTATCTTTAGGAGCATAACAATTGTCCTTCTGCTTCATGAAAGGGGACTCATGTCTAATAGTAATAAGCTGCTAGCTATTTAAAAAATAATTGCTTTATGCTAAATCAAGGGAAATTGTAAACAGGAAAACAATCAAACAATGGGTCTCTAATGTTAAAGTTGAGGTTTCCCCAGGGAACCTAGCAAACTACATGTTTGGCTTTGAGACAAACACACTTCGTATAAGGAAAAGGACCTAATCTAGCACAAGTAGAAAGAGGGAAGAAGGAAAAATATTTTGAAAATAATACAGATAAGTGTGTAATTTCAATTAAATGGATCTTGGCTTGTCTGTGGAATAGCACCAAAAGATAATACCAGACCAGAGAGACAGAATGATGCTGTTGCCTGGTGGTTAGGGCACCCAGTGCGGAGTTTGGAGACCCACAGTCCTGTCTCCTTGCTTCAATGACTGTTTATCCTTGATGGAAACAGCTTCAATGGGAGAGATTGAGGGAGCCCTGCATCAGGATATCCCATAGCTCAATGGTTAGATCATGCTCCTAAAGGGTAAGAAACCCTTCTTCAAATCCTTTCTCTCCCTCAGACAGAGGGGGGGGGATTTGAACCCAGGTCTCCCACAAGTGAGTGCTCAAATCACTGCACTAAAAATTATAAAATGGGCACCACTAGCAACAACTCCTCCTCCAGCTAGAGCTTGAATGGGACTAGATCTGGTAGGTGGCCTCTGGGCATGCCTACCAGATCGGGCCCTGCACAGTGGAGATCTAGGTATTGACTGAGTTTAGGCACCTAAAGGGTTAGGCAGCAGCTGAGTGGGAGTTTTGTGGATCACAGTGGAGCCTGAAACTGGGACTTATGCATCTAAATCTGGAGTCTAGGCAATTAAGTACCTTTGTGGATCTGGGCTTAATCCAAAACCCACAGAAGTTAATGAGACTTCAAATCTCAAACTGGGACTTCTGTTCTAATGCTCAATTACCTTGGCTTCCTTCTACAGTACATGTAAACGTCTGTAAATCTTAATCCTGCCCCTTTTACACACTTCAGTAATCCTTAGTGAGTACAGTGGGACCGCTCTCATCAGGAAGGACTGCAGGATAGCTCCCTATAATAGTCCCTTGTAGTAATGTGTCTTTAATGTTCAAACTGCCTGGGTCTCCTAAACTATAAAGAGGCTTGTGTTCATATTAGTAGTTGCACAGGAGTTTGGGGGATTTTTAAATAGTGAGTTATAACTTAATAAACTGGGTTTATGCTTTGATGGCTCTGGGTAATGTATGTCTGAGAGGCAGTCATTATAAGGAAAATTGAATTACAGAGTGACTTTTTTTTTTTATTACCAGCTACATTATTTTCTCCAGTCTGAGTGGATAAATTGTACTACCTTATGTGATGACTATGTAATAATGTTTCTCTAGTAGCTTTGAATAGCACATTTTTGTTTTTTTCTAATAAAATTGTAAACTTTTAGTGCTCACAATGAAGAATTAATAATGTTACAGTACCTTGAGCCAAAAAGCCTGTGTGCAGGCACAGTGAATGCTTCCTTATTTAAAAACCTGAGTCTTGACCTAAGACCTTGTCACTATGCCAGCCCTGAGTCCCTACATCTCTGCTAACCCTGCCCTCTATCTCCCACCATTCCAGTTCTGTTCCTTTCAAAGATCTGTGAATGTACAGTAATCCTGAGCTACATACCTGCAAGATTGCAATATATCCTCCCATCCTGCAAACTTGATTCTGCTTGTGTATCTGACTCCTGATCTACATACCCCTACCTTTCCAGTTCTTTCCTGCCTACCATGATTCTGCTAATACAGCTAATCTGGATCTGCAGAGACCTACCATTCCAGTTCTCCCCACACCTGGCTTCCCATTAGCTTCCAACACACCTATAGCTTGATCCAAATTGCACTGAAGTCAATGAAAAGATCACCACTAACTTTAATGGATTTGGATTCACCTACAGTCCTGATTTGCAGGCCCTCATCATTCCAGTCTTGGACCTTTTGAGCAGAGACTAAAATTTTGTGCTGAACAGTTGTTCACAATTGTAGTTTTGTGATGTGCAGAAACTAGGATGAGATCCTCAAATTCCATTTTACTTCGAACATATGGGCATGCTCCTACAAACAAAATTGAATATAATGTTGTTATGAATAGTCCCAGTATTGTCCTATTCAGTAGTATGTGCACAATTGGGTCAAATGATGATAGAAATCCATTGTGCCACTGTGACCAGGGTCCCAGGGGAACCACATTGAGGTTAATTA